CTTCTTCAGTGTTAACATGCTTCAGGAAGGAAAGTTGGACAAATCATTGAACAATAACCTGAGTACATCGTCATGCCTCCCAGCTTGGGATACACAGTTGGCCCATAAAAACATGAGGTCACCCACACATCCATAGGAGAGCACCCTACAACCAGGTATTGAATCCAGGGGGCTCAGATGTCAGTGCAGGTGGGGCTCCCCCTCTAAGCACCCAGGTGACCACATGGGGTCCAATCCTTGGCCACCCTTGGACCTTCTGAGCCTGCTGGAGGCAGGTACTAAACTGCAGGTACGGTGCAGTCTGCTGTCTACAGGCTGTGGTTAGAGCCACAGCCCCCCAGTGGCCTATGAGACTCTGGGTGCTGCACTGACCACTGGAACCTCACAAGTCAGCACCTCACACCCATTATGACATCACATTCCGGGAACCAGGGCTCTAGTCTCTGCACTGTCCCCACTGTTTCAGTCCTGGACTATGCTCAGGGAACCTCACACCTTACTATAGAGTTATTTGTGCCCTATATTTATTTGCTTTTTTACTCATAATCGTAAAGAACCCGAGATAACATAGGTGTTCATATTAATGGAGACTTTATTACATATAAGTGTATATATTTATTATATATGTGTATATATATACACACACACAAATGCTTTTTAGCACTAAAAAATATAATCACAAAATTTGCAGGAATATTGATGGCCTTGGAATATATATTGAGGTCACACAATCTCAGAAAAACTGTATTATTTCCCTCATACGTATAATCTAGACTATAATAAATGTACATATGGGAACAAATTTACACATGAGTATAGTATGCCATGTAGAAAAGAGATTACAGGCTAAATATTAGGAGGTGAGGAAGGATTGACAGCAGGTACTGAACATGGGTTGTGAAAGAGGACGTGAGATAACTGTTCTTCTGTTTCTAATTCTTTTTTTTTGCTGGTGTGTAAGTGCATAAATACATTCAAAAGAGACAACATGAAATCCAGTATGAACTCCTCAGCTTTTGTTCTGAATGTCTGTCATAACTGTACAGAAAGAAGTTCATGAGTTATATAGTTTGGGGTTCTTGTTAATTTTGACACGTAATATCATTTTCTTTGACACATTTTAAATAATAGGACTAAAACAAAAAAAATGAGAAATGCCACTTGAGCGTGTGTTTCTACTATACTATTTACTCCTGAGATTATGTGTTTCTGCTATGGTATTCACTTGAGCTGTTCATAAGAGATGCTTTCTACACAGGCTGTACCTTGGAAAAATTACTTCTTATAGAAAGATGTTAATCTATAAAAGATATTTCTATTTGTAAGGAAATATTCCTTTCTTAGGAATAATATGTTAACTGGATGTAGAAAGACTCCAAGCAGGAAGAAAACAATGACTCAGAAACACAGAGTAAATGAAGTTTTTTCAAAGTGACTTGCTAACCACAAACAGGACCTTTCTACATAGCAACCTTTCTTTGTTATTGACAAGAATGGGATTTATGCCTGAAGCTGGGAAACTTTCCTTGCAATCTACTTTACAGGTTTCTTAATTGCTGTGTTATCTCTAATGTGTACATGAGATATACATATTAAAAAACTATTTGTTTTATAAATAAATCAAATATAAAAGTTATGTCTTACAACCAAGTTCATTTGATTGGTATTCTGGTTTCTTAATTTTAATAATGATGAACAGCCAGTAACCAAAGCAGCTGTGATCACTATAGATATAGAAGGGAGGGGAGGTGGGGAGGCCACTGTTTGGCATCCCTCTGTTGTACTCATGGCAAAGCCAAGTGGAAAACACAACGTGAGTCTGGCTGTATCTCATATCTGGGGAGCAATCAAATTCTTTCCCCTTAGTCCTTAGCATCTGAGCCATTTTAGGAGTCCACTTACTTCATCCCTCATGATGCCTTTCCAGTAGGATACTGTCCCTCTGTAAACTTTATGATAGCCACACTCATGTGCCGTAAGTTGAAAACGGTATTTTTTCTTTCAATGTCATCTCCATTGTCATAGAAACAAGGACCCGTACTGTAAAGAGGACAAAAACCACATATACTCACTAGTAGACAGGAAGATTGGATATTGATTGTTATGTACGAAGAACTGGATATACAGTTCTTACCTTACTATTTATACATATCCCCAAAAGGCATCTCATTATTGAGTTTACTAATTTACCGTAAGCTGTTAAAACAGGGACAATTAAAACATAACTTTAATGTCTCTGGTGTGTCCAAAATTGTATTTATAATATTCCTAAGTACAAATGAAATTTATTGACAAAGACAAGATTGGAAGGAGAGACCAATTTATATCTCTAATTCTATAGTCTTCTGATGTTATTAAAATACATCCTAAAACATGTACCTCAAAACAAGTTTAAGGTAAACTTAGTTCATTGTTGTGAGATATTTTGTGTTCTGACAAAGCTTGCCTGGGGATCAGAGTGTGGAGCTAGCCACTAGTTAACCATAGAGGCCAGGCAGTTGTGGCATACATCTTTAATCCTAGGACTTGGGAGACTCACACCTTTGATCCAAGCACTCGGGAGGTTCACCCCTTGAATCCCAGCACTTAGGAGGTGGAGATAGAAATATAAAGTGGGTAGAGACAGGATCCTAGCCCTTCCGTTTGGTCTGAGGACCTGGAGAGGTGAGAAGACACTAGTGGCTGCTCCTTTGCTTCTCTGATCTTTCAGTTGTAGCTGTGTGAGTTGCTACATGGTTGTGTGGGTTCACACGGGTCTGTGGAATGAAGACACAGAGGCATCTTAAGAAGGAATCTAGCCTTTTGTGGCTGCAGGGGGGTCCAGTCTTGAAGGACTGAAGCCCTTTTCCCTTCACCTAGGGCATATTTTTTACTCTTTTTACAGTTTAGATAGTTAATATCCATACCGTCAAAGCAACCTAAAAGGAACTCCCAGAGACCAAATGCCAGGTGCAAAGTACTTGAATTATCAGGTACCTCAGTTTTCCTGTACCATGTTTTGCATAGGCCTTTGATCCTTGGGGGACTCTCTGATCCTTGACTCTCAAACAAGATTCACATAGGGCGATAAGAGAAACAAAAGGTAAGAGAAACAAAAGGTATGATTAAACAAAGGGAGGATTAGGGCTGGGTGCTGCTCTCTGGAGCTAAGCCAGGAGCTCAGCAGGATGCCGCCATATTGTTATTACCCCAATATTTGAATCCTGGTATTTATTGATAAGACTAATTAGGATCACACTTCATCTCATTTGATATGAAATATTTTTCAGAATCATGTATGTATTTTTTAAAAGCTGGCTTGAAAAACAAGAGTGCTAGAGGTAAATGTGTTAAATGTACTTTACCCTTGCCAGGAAGGACATCTCCAGGCTCAGGTAGCACCATTTCTCTTGGATGGGACACAGACCCTATCAGAGCAAATTGCATACTGGCTACATTACAAGATAAGAATGCACAGGGAAAGAGGACCTGAAGAAAGTCTGCTGCTCCTGTCTCCCACCATCATGAAAGCCAGATCAGAAGAACCTCCTCCTAATTTACAGGAAAGATGAATTACTCCTCTTGTCTCACATGACACCAGGATGGATTCACTTGCCCAGTGGAGGAGTCTTTACCCACATCCCAAATTTGCCAAGCAACAGAGAGGCAAATACCTACTACTCTGCCTTTAGTGGGATTCTGGAATTTTCAAAGCAGCCTGACTTCCTGTACCTATCCAGGTACAGACTCTGGTTTCACTCTGGAAGCAGTTCTGCAAACACAGGGTTTGCTAAAACCCAGGAACAGTGCAAAAGACCCTCCCTGTGTTCCTGAAACTACTTGTGCAGACCTCTGGGAAATAAAGTCCAAGCCACTGTGATGTCACAGGGGAAGCCTATGGAAACCAATCAAAAGCATCACCTAAAGAAAACAATAGATAACAAAGAGACATACAGTCAGATGTGTTCCATGTATAGTACATGACCTCAAACTCTACTGAATAGCTCTAGTGAAAAGGACTGCACTGGACTCCCATAAAAACAAACATACAGACAAACACTGTAATGTAAGAACAAGAGATCAACAGTAATGAAATGGGCATGTAATTGTTGTCAAGGTGTCCAAAGCTAGGAACTGGAATTGACAGCCTTTTCAACAAGTATTTGACGAAACTAGAATCAGACCAAAGACCAACATCTTGGGTGGCAAACACCTAGTCATAAAGCTCCAGTTTAGTATGAGAGGTCTCTGATGAAACACAGTTGACTCTAAGGGCTTAGGAAGCTCCACCCATCCTGCTCAACCAGCAGGACACATACCCTCTCTCCTGGGCCAGCCCCTCTTATTGTTTGATGTCTTCTCAGCAGACCCTGTCCTTGCCCCATACTCCTGTCTCCAGTATCTTGGGCTATATACTAATATGGTTGTATAACAAATCAATATCTTTAGGTTTGAGTGATCTGAAGGATTCTAATGTTTGTAATAACTTCTTTCAATCACATTAAACATTTCACATTAATTATAAGCAATGCCTGTTTGCATAAATTCTGTATTAAAAGCATGTGTCTACTATATGTTGTGGAATACTCTTTTGTCACTTGGATTGGTTTAACAAAAAGCTGAATTGCCAATAGGTAGGCAGGATTTTGGGGGCAGAGAGGACACTTGGGAAGGGTGGGGATGTGTAGTCACCAGCCAGCCAAAGGAGCAAGATATGCAGGACAGGGAAATGCCATGAGTCACGTGGCATGTGTAGATAAATAGAAGTGGGTTAATTTATAGGACAAGCCTAAGCTATTGGCCAAGCTTTCATAATTAATAAGAAGTCTCAGTGTCGTTACTTAGGAGCTAGCTGGCAGGACAGAAAATCCACCTCTAACTATACTTCAATAGATCCATTACTAAGCCATAAGGAAAGACATTGCTACAGTATTTCTATGTACACAGTGCTTTAAATGATAGCTGATATGCTACTATGAGGTGTAAACAGTGAGAAATGATTCTGCCAGAGTCATTATATATAGGATTCATTACAATATGAATTTATTCATGGGTAATGAGGATTGTTCATAAGGCTTTGTCACACTATTTATATCTGTAGGGCTTCTAAACCAAACAAACTCTCTGACACTAAGGTATTAAGAAAAATCAGTTCTCTTATCAACTGAGCATGTCAGTTTTCCTTCATGCCTAAATTTCTCATGTTGAGTTTGGAACAATTGTTCCACACATAGCTACTGTCTTTGATTTCACAGGTTTCTCTTTAGCCTGAAAATTTTGGTGTTGATTTGGGGAAACATAAAAAAAAATTGGTCATATTCTTTACTTCTTTGGGCTTCTCTGCAGTGTGGATGCTCAGGTCTAGAGGCTGGACACATCTACAGGCTGTGGGACATTGTCTCTAGTATGTCATTGGATATTAATAGCAGAGTTATGAAGAAGACTGAAAAGCCTTCCATATTCATTGCTGTCCTAGATTGATTTCTGTTGGGCTGATAATAAATGGCTGGACCAAACACAATGTGGGGGAATGATCAGTTTATTTCAAATTATGAGTTACTATTCCTCATCTAGGCAAGCCAGGACAGGCAGTGATGCAAAAACCATGGGGAATACTGCTTTTTTACTTGCTTCTTCTGGTTCATGTTCACCACAATTCTTATGCAACAAAGGAATTCCTGTACAGGGTAGTGCTGGTTGTCCTGGCTGTCTTCTCTTATATCACTTAGAAATCAAGAAAATACCGTGAACACAAGCTTATAAGCTAATATGATAGAAGCAAATAGCTAACTGAGAGTCCTTCAGATAATGTTGGGTTGTGTGGTATGAATATCTGCAGCTAGCTAACAAAGGCATCTGTACCTGCAGAGTCTCTCACCTATATCAACACTTTGTTGCTGATGAAGACTTGAATTACTATCCAAGGCTTAGGGACAGCTTTTGAGTGTGTAGAGTGTTTCTACAGTATGAACTATCTGCAGATATATACAGTGTGAACAAAAGGTAGAGAACTTGCTATGTTGATTGCTTTTGTTGGCTTCATCACAATGAATTCTCCAAATCTTATATAGACATGAGGAACAACTAAGTCCTGATCCTGTTCTGCACATGAGTAGGGTTTCTCTCAGGTGAGAATTACTGAGGTTGAATCAGGACTGAATAATAACTGAAACCTTCATTACATCCTTCACATAGCTTTGATTTTCAGGATGAAGACTGTTGTGTTATTTAAGATACAAGGAAACACTAAGTGTCAGTCACTCCATTCATGTTTGGACTGGTTTGCTGCAGAATGAAATTTACTGATAGTAGAGGGTGTTGACTGGGAGTTAAAGCACTCACCATTCTTCACATGTGCATAGCTTCCCTACTCAATACATTCATTTGTGCTGCATAAAGTATAAATCATCATCAAAGGCTTTGCCACATTCCACATGCTTGTGGAACTTCTATTCAGAATGAATTATTTGATGTCTTTGAAGGACTACAAACATGTAAACTTTTTATTACATCTGTAGGATTTCTCTCCAGTATGAACTGTCTTGTGTCGAGAAAGGGTATAATGATTAACAAAGACTTTGCCACATTCCTCACACTTGTGGTTATTCTCTTCAGAATGAATTGTTTTGTGTACCTTAACATATGAAGAGCAGGAAAATCCTTTGCCACACTCTTCACACTTGAATGGTTTCTCTCCAGTATGAACAATCTTGTGCTGAGTAAGGGTGTACAGCTTAGTGAATGCTTTCCCACATTCCCCACACTTGTAGGGATTGTCTTCAGAATGAATTATTTGATGTCTTTTAAGATCTGAAGAATAGGAAAAAACTTTGCCACACACCTCACACTTGTAGGGTTTCTCTCCAGTATGAGCTATCTTGTGCTCAGTAAGTACAGAAGGCTTAATAAATCCTTTTCCACACAGTTCACACTTGTAGGGTTTCTCTCCAGAATGAACTGTCTTGTGTCTCTTGAGGGTTGTATGTGTGGTAAAGGCTTTGTGGCATTCTTCACACTTATATGGCTTTTCTCCAGTATGAATTTTTTGGTGCTTTTTAAGGTCTAAAGTAGAGTAAAACATTTTGCCACATTCTTCACATTTACACGATTTCTCCCCGGTATGATGTAATTTGTGCACAGTAAGGTATGAGAAAGTACAAAAAGTTTTTCCACATTCTTCACATTTGTGTGGTTTCTCAATGGTGTGAGTTCTCTTGTGAACAGAAAGTTCTGGGCGAGTACGAAAGTCCTTACCACATACTTCACATTTGAAAGGTTTCTCTTGACAATGAGTTCTTTTGTGTCTCTTCAGTTTTGAGGTACAGGCAAACATTTTGCCACACATTTCACACTTGTGGCATTTCTCTCTGGTATGAACTATTTTGTGCTGAACCAGGGAAGAATTACTAGAAAAGGCTTTTCCACAGACTTCACACTTGTACAGTTTCTCTTGACAATGAAGTCTTCTATGTTTCTTCAGTTTTGAAGTAGAATAAAACATTTTTTTACATTCTTCACACTGATAAGATTTCACTCCAGTATGACTTAATTTGTGCTGGATCAAGGAAAAATTATAAGAAAATGCTTTCCCGCATTCTTCACACTTGTATGGCTTCTCTCCAGAATGAACAAACTTGTGCTGAGTAAGGGTAGAAAGTGTAGAAAAGGCTCTGCCACATTCCTCACACTTGTAGGGATTGTCTTCAGAATGAATTCTTTGATGCCTTTTAAGGGCTGAAGAAGAGGAAAAACATTTGCCACACTCCTCACACTTGTAGGGTTTCTCTCCAGTGTGAGCTATCTTGTGCTCAGTGAGTACAGACGGCTTAGTGAATCCTTTTCCACACAGTTCACACTTGTAGGGTTTCTCTCCGGTATGAACTGCCTTGTGTTTCCTAAGGGCTGAGTGATTACGAAAGGCTTTGTGACATTCTTCACAGTTATATGGTTTTTCTCCAGTGTGAACTTTTTGATGTTCCTGAAGATGTGGAGAACAGTAAAATCTTTTTCCACAGTTTTCACACTTGTAGGGATTCTCTCCAGAATGAATTCTTTGATGTTGCTTAAGGAATGAAGGATAGCAAAAGGATTTGCCACATTCTTCACACTTGTATTTTTTCTGTCCAGAATGAATTCCTTTATGCTGGTTAAGGATTAAAGCAGAGGAAAATGTTTTCCCACATTCTTCACACTTGTATGGTTTCTCTCCACAATGAACTCTTTGATGTTGCTTCAGGAATGAACGATCATAGAAAGCTTTGCCACACTCTTCACACTTGTAGGGTTTCTCTCCAGAATGAATTCTTTGATGTTGCTTCAGCATTGATGGATAGTAAAATAATTTGCCACATTCTCCACACTTATAGGTTTTTTCATCAGTATGGTTTTTCTGGTGTATAAAAAGTGATGAGCGAGTACTGAAGGTCTTATGGCATTCTTTACACTTATAGGGTTTGTCTCCAGTATGAAGTCTCTGGTGTATAGAAAGTGTTGAGCGAGAACTAAGAGCCTTACCACATTCTTCACACTTGTAGGGTTTCTTCCCTGTATGAATTCTCTGGTGTTCAATAAGGAGTGAATTACAATCAGTGGTCTTGCTATAATTGTTATAATTATTGGGTGTTGTTCCTGTTGAGCAAAAGTTGAGATATGATCAAAAGCTAAGCAATATTCTCTATACTTAGAATGACTACTTTTAAAATGGAGAGATTAACTCAAGCATATTTAACCATAAATCAGAAACTATAGTGTATTTTAACACCTATCATCACTGAGCATAATTCACAAAATATAGCAGTATGCAAAAACAACCTACACTTCTACTACAATAAGAGTACAACCAAATGAACAAAAACAATGGCATATATTTCAAAGTAAAATAGCAAAGTATGTTGTAAGGGGATTTTACTAACAGAAAATAACTCACTTAAGTATAGCTGGACATCCATGAAATTACAACATAGCCAAGAAAAAGTTAATTGAGATTTATGAGATTGGACCAACATAGAAACACACAATTTTTACCCAAGTATAGACTTTCATTTTTATATGCTCCATAACAAGTAGACTGTCAATATCAATATCAAATAAAATATCTTGAGGCTTTAGGAGGGTATTTTATTTTTTATTTTGTTGACAAGAAAATATATACCTCAAAGATATCAAATTATAAAAGAATTTTCAGGTACACTTATGAATAACAGAAACTATGCTGAAGGCAACACAGTTGTCAATGAATTGTTTCATTTTGTGCTTTTAATGACAAGAGTTTCTCTGCATAGGCCTGGGTGTCCTGGGTGTCCTGGGTGTCCTGGGTGTCCTGGGTGTCCTGGGTGTCCTGGGTGTCCTGGATCTGGCTCAGTCAACCATGCTAGCCTCAAACTCAGGGATCTTCCTGCCTTTGCCTCACAAGTGCTGTGATTAAGGCATGCACCACCAAGCCCAGTGATAAAATCACATATTTCTATGAACTATTCATTAATTAAATAACCATTGAGCAATGAATGGAGAGAAACAATGAACAAGGCATGAAAATAGGAGACTTGTATTTAACCATGAGGTAAAACTTCACAGAAACAGTACTCATAGATACTATTTCTTATAGCATAGACACTTTTTTTTATCTTGCACTGTTCTGATGGATGGACAACCCATCCACAGGTAGAACATGTATGACAAATGATTACAGATGATGCACACTTCCAAATAACAATGCAGAATATGAAATTGCAAAAAAAGAAAAAATACATTCTCCTAGATGTGGAGATATATATATATATATATATATATATATATATATATATATATATAGCATATTAAATCCTTAGTACTGCATGACACAAAAAAATTATAAAGACATTTTCATCATTCATAAATGAGACAAGTTTCATTAAAAGAGTGTAAGTGATATGAAAGAAACTTATGTGTGAAGTTATTGTCTCACAATGGTTTCACACCCAGGGATTTTAGAAATGCGTGCAAACTTTCAGAGGTGTAGAAAACAATTTAAAGTCAGTAACTGAAGTGCCCAAAGTGTCTGCATTTTGCATGAGTTTTACCCAATGACTCCCCCAGCTAGCCAATCCTGCTGAGAAAACGCCCTCATGAAGCCTCACCCACAGCTTTTGAAAAACCCACTCTTTTACAATATAAAAGACATTCTTTGAATCAATGGAAATGAAACTTTTGAAATTTCAGGGTAAAGCAGCCTTTGGTATTAGGTAATTATGGGTTTAGCCTTTTGACCCAATCATGCCTCATGTTGAGTGGCTAAAATTTTCCCTGGCATGAGCCTGTTCTCCAAAACAGCAAAAAAGACTCTATCTGAACTTCACTGAGTAGCCTTGAACTGTGTCTCCTGTGGATACAACACTTGGAGGTACCAGCAAAATTTCTGACAATCAAGAGTTTCAGAACACTCTGGGTCTCCCAGCTTGCTTCATTCACTATTACAGTGGTAGTGTCTCACTGAGAGTGTCCTAGGCCCCATAAATGTCTCTCCAGGGCCAGAGAATCAGAAATTTCCACTGTATTTCCTCACACCAAAACCAACTGACTCTTTCTGGTCCTCCAAGGTGAAGATATTTTTCTGTGGTCCAGATTCTGGTAAGTGGAAAAGTATTGACGTTGACTCCTTCCCTGGGTCTCCTTCTAAGAGTAAAGATGTTGACGGAAGAACTAACAGATAAAAATTTTTGGTTAAGGGGCTGGAGAGATGGCTCAGTGGTTAAGAGCACTGACTGTTCTTCCAGAGCTCCTAAATTCAATTCCCAGCAACCACATGGTGGCTCACAACCACCTGTAATGAGATCTGGTGCCCTCTTCTGGCCTGCAGGAACACATGCAGATAGAACACTGTATACATAATAAATAAATATTAAAAAAATTTTTTTGGTTAAGTCCTTGTCTTATATCATTTCCGAAGATGCTGAATTAATAATTGAATAGTTCATTTAATGCATGCTGTCTCAGCTACTGTCTTAGCCTTACTTTTTGTCCCTTTCCCTGACCTTCATCGTGGAACAGAGAGTCAGGCCATTGTTTGAGCTCACTTTGGCATCAAGGCAACTGGAAGCTGCAGGGTTTTTCTGTCCTCTTGCCTATGGTTCGTGAGCAGTGCCAACCTCCTTTCGGAGGCTGCACTCATGGGTCTGGAAAACTCCAAGTCTGTTCCTCTTCAAACAGCTCATCACCGGCACCTAGCTCCCCATTGTGGTCTTATCAGGAGCGCAGACCTAGTCAACTCCCAGCCCTGTGCTCAGAAAGATCTTCCCTGGGCTAGTGGAGATCTACCCATCTATGAACTATAAGGTCTCAAACAGGGCAGGGTCCCTTTTACTGCAGAACACAAGGTGGCTGTGGGAGCCACTAGACCAGTGACTGCAGTGGGGGAAGAGCAGAGCCCTCATGCATCCAAGGGGCTGCCCAGGCGTGGGTCCAGGACTCTAGCTCACCATGGGCAAAGAGTGGCAGGCAGTTTTCCTGTGAGGAGAGCACTTTAGCTGCACTGCTTCTGTGGGAGACTGGAGACAGAACATTCTTTCTGTTCTTGGGACTCCTTTGCCCTATGGCTGAGGTCAGCCCTTGTCTCTGCTCCAAGCCCGGATACTTTGGCTTTCATTTCTAGAACTTTCTGAGTTGCTTAGATGTCTAGTTTTATGGCTTTCTGTTTACATGTCTCTAGGCTACTGGTACCAATGTATTTAAAACTTACAGGTTTGACCCCACAAACCAGTATGTCCCTATCCCATAAAATCACTATATTATCCTAAAAATGTAAATCTGTATAGGAGGGAAAATACATCAAGTACTATTCAGGTTGTCTGCCCATATCTACAGATATACAATACATTTATGGGTATATAAATCACTGGCTTCAGTCTAATAGAGAAACAAATGCTTTTTGAATATAGATAATATCTTTTGGAATTGTCATATGTCGTTTTAGCTCAGTGAAAAGCTGGCTCCAGAGATAGAATATGCACCATCCACTTCACACCCAAGGATAATTGTCTCAGAGCTTCTTCCAATGCCCGGTCCTGGGTCAGGCTGGCTCCCTGACTCTCTGATAGGCAGAAGGAGAACAACAGGAAAAGACACTTGAGAACAGCTAAGAGGTGAACTGTTTGCAAGAGAGGCTGTTATTTACCTCATGGTAGGAAGATGTGTAGAATTAAAAACAACTAATGGGAACCTCATCATTAAGAAGGATAAAAGGGACACCCTGTCTAAAACCAATCAATAATAACTCTAAAATCATAATCAGCTAAATTCTGTTAGATGCTGTTAACATGACTTTAATGATGATCATGATAAGTCCACATTCTATCTAAATCATAAGGGCTGTTTTATGTTTTCTGTAAGGTTTATCTCTAAACATTCAAGGCACAATGGTTTAACATTATGTGCACAGGTAATATGAATGAATCACATTACCCTCGCTGTGTAGTTTGGATTCAACCTTCTTTTATTTAACTGATGTTGCACAGTATCATCTAAGTTGAACAATGACCATCTTCATAACTCTATGTGTGTTGATAAAAGTAATCACAGCTGGGCTTTTTAAATGCTAATATTCCTTTAAAAACAGGATAGAGGCAAGGTCACTGAACCCTCACTTGAGTATCCACTCATTGCTCCCATAAATTCCTAGTTATGGAATTAGAACTGAATTTTTATGAGGTTTCAAGGTTTTCTGGAGACACTAGGGTATACAAGCAAGAAAAACTAAAACTGGGTTGGAATTCCACTCTGCAGTCATGGGAAAGAAATGGCCCTCATGAAAATAGCTATTGCCTAACACCCTCCACTCTGGGAAATTTTCTTACATCGTATGGTAAATTTACTTGTTAATGTTATTATGTCTCATTTGAAATTGCTTAATCAAGCCGGCGGTGGTGGCGCACGCCTTTAATCCCAGCACTCGCGAGGCAGAGCCAGGCGGATCTCTGCGAGTTCGAGGCCAGCCTGGGGTACCAAGTGAGTCCCAGGAAAGGCGCAAAGCTAAACAGAGAAACCCTGTCAAAAAAAAAAAAAAAAAAAAAAAAAAAAAAAAGAAATTGCTTAATCAAGGGGGCTATATACAAAGGTTCAGATGGCTTTTCAAAGGGAGTAAATCATCTCAGTTGATTCTTTACAATCAGTTACCAACTGAACTCATGCTCTATACTCCCCTCTTCTGGATTCTTGATTACAAAAAATGCTCTCTCATCCAAGTTTATTCATATCACTAAAGTTCTTACTGAGATGTAACTCTTCTCTCAGGACCAGTGGAACCATTTTAAAAAGTTATAAAAGTCATAAATATGAAGTTATATCTCTAAAAATGGTTAAATTGTTTTAGATAAGATAAATTATATAAGAAGAGACCAAACCATAAAAGTCTTAAAAGTAGTCACAGTAGGTCTGAATACATTATATGGGACTTATGCAAGATGAGACTTAAAAATAATATACCTGCTTGTTTCTTCACATCCCAAGGACCTTGTCTTTGCTCCAGAAATGTCACCAGGTATGGCTTAGAGACAGTAAGACCTGTTTGAAGGAAAGAGGAACAAGATGGTTTGGGTGTTCTTCCACTAGGAATTGACTTGCAACTTACAGTACGCAGCTTATGAGAAAAGAAATGATGTAGCAAATGTTTGCAGGCAATTAGTTCCTGAAATGATTTCTGATAGGTATATTAGAATGTTGAAGAGGATTTACAATCTGCGGATTCTAAGCTTCAGTTAAAAGGGAAAACATTAAAAGTGAATTGTGAAACATTTCCATTAACATGAGTGCTCCATGCCTCATGCCATTGAATTTCCCCCAGTCCCACTAGAGTCAAGGATGCATGCTCCCAACACAGACAGGTTAAACATACAGAGAGAATAACAATGAAATGTTTCTTAGCTACACAGCAACATCCCTAATTTTTCTTAAAATAAAAAATATGAAATTCGCTGTTGAAAAGCACAAATTCCCATGACATACTCTACAAAGTAGGGAAGCTACATGTTGAGGTTGAAATAAGAATTCACTGTGGATGAGATCCTTACCCAAGAAATCAAGGTGGCTGTAATTCTCCAATATCACATCCCTGTACAGATCCCACTGAGCAGGCTCCAGGCATTCCCACTCTTCTGGAGTAAAATCAATGGCCACATCCCAGAAGGACAGCATCTCCTGAAATACAGACCAATGAATATTATCACACTTTTCATTAATTAAAACCACTAAAAATTATATAAATACTAAGATGCATTGGGTCGGATAGTTCTCCTGTCAACTTGACATTGGCCATTTGAGAAAAGAGAAGCATAATTGAGAAAAGATCTCCATGTGATGTAACTTTCTTAATTGGTGATGGATATGGAACAACCCAGCCCACTGGGGGTGGTACCAGCCTGGACAGGTGGTCCTCAAAGGTATAAAAAAGTAGGCTGAGCAAAGCATGGAGAACAAGCCAGGAAGCAGTGTTCCTCTAGGGCCTCTGCTCCAGTTCCTGCCTCCAGGCTCCTGCTTAGACTTCCCTGAGTGATGGAGTGTTGCCTGAATAATAATCAGCAAGTACAGAAATCGAAATACTTTGGGAATATTTAAAATACACTAGATATCGCTCTGATCTTATGTTCATTTCCCCTTTCCTCTTCTTTGACAGGCACTGATGGATTTGCAATATTCCATGCTTTGAATAGTTGACACCTGTACCTCAGTGTGCTGTAGCTGAGAATTACGATTGCTGGTACAACTATTTTCTTATTTCAAAATACTCTATGAATCAAATTTTTTCTGCTTTCCATATATTATTGAGTAAAGCCCCAACATGATCTGTATTAGTTAGGGTTTTCTATTGCTCTGAAAAGACACCACAACCACAGCAACTCTTATAAATGAAATATTTAACTGGGTTGGCTCACTTACAGTTTCAGAGGTTCAGTCCATTATCATCAGGATGGGGAGCATGGTATCATGCAGGCGTGCTGGAGGAATAGCTTAGAATCTTATATTTTGACTCAGAGGTAATAGGAACTCAACTGACTGTCACACTGAGGGAAGCTTGTGCAAAAGAGACCTCAAAGCCCACCTCCACAGTGACACACTTGCTTCAACAAGGTCACACCTCCAAATAGTGCCACTCCCATTGGGGGCCATTTTCTTTCAAACTACCACATAATCTATGATAACAACAACATTATTTTTCCTTTTTTTTTTTTTTTTACTGCATGAAAAATATTGGGAATTTATATATTAAAGGGGTATTTGGTGTGAATTTTAAGGGTAAGTTTTGCATAGCCTTTCCATCAGTTTTCAGTTTTCAGTGTGTTCATCTCCCCAAACACTGTATTTCAGGCTTCTGAAGCAAAGCTTCAGAAAGCAGGCTTCTGAACACTAGATGAAGCTTACACATACCCAACTTTTGGAGCAATAGTACAGGGAGCATTGATCACTCTCTTATCACACTGTTCCAGAACATCCATTGTTTGAAAAGTCCCCAAGCCTCAGCTTCCTGATGTCCCTGGCTGATAGCAAACCATTCCATCTCCAACTCCTGTGAGTTACAACTCAGCATGTAGCATATCAATATGATCAAGTGGTACTTTTCCATGCCTGAAATAATTCTCAGTTTCATCCATATTGTCATAAACACCATGAATTTATCCTCTTTTAAAAAAATTGTTTAAAATATAATTACATAATTTCCCCTTTTCTTTCCTTATTCCAGCCCCTCCCATGCCCACTTGTTACTTCTTCTGAAGTACATTGTGTCTTCATCTTTAATTATTACTGCTACATGTGTAGGTACCTACGTATGCATACATAAATAAACATGAACTGCTGATTCTGTTCAGTGCTATCTGCATGGATGTTTGGATGGCTGACTTCTTGGTGTTGGATAAACAGTGAGAGGACTCATCTATGGGGAAGACTGTAGATAACCCCCCCAGCAGGAAATCATGTATATTAGCATTTTCAGGCAGTCACATTGTTGAGGTATCATGAGTGCAACTTCCCTTCACTTTGTAGGAGACACAACCTCACAGCATACACAACTGACTTCTGGTTCATATGATCTAACAGCTCCATCTCCAGAGATATGCCCTGAGCCTTATGTGCAGGAATTAAGATGATGACTATGTAGATGTATCCACTGGGGCAGGGTACCACACGATCATTCTCCTCTGCATTTTGGTCACTTTGGTCTTCTGTAATGCTTTCTGACTACTGCCGAGAGAAGCTTTGAGAAGCTCTGAGAGCTGCACTTATCTACGGTTCTAAGGAAAAGTATTGGGAATGCAGTTAGGTATTAATGATGGTTTGGTAAAGTAGTAGTAGCAGGAACTCCTCGAAGATCCGTGACCCAACTAACCATGAGTGGCAGCCATGATTCCAGGCAGGATTTGCCTACTCTTGAGCAGGACTTAAGTCCAATTAGACAGCTACTGTCCACGCCACGATATGACAGTCACTGTTGCACCCTTCGTGATATCTTGCCATACTGGTCATTGTTGTGGTTCATAGGAACAACAGCTAAATAAAAGTGTTTATCACTCCTCTCTCTCCCTTGGAAGCTTGCAAAGCGCCTCCCATCACTATGAAAACTTGGACTCAGGTAGGAGGATTTCAGGTCAGATCCAGTTCCAATCCTCTGAGTCTTGTGTCTGAAGTGCAATGTGTTTTCAGCATGAGGAGGAGGATGGTTATAGTCAAAAGACTTTTGGTACAGAGGAAAAGTATGCCTTGGAAAGAATGATTACACTGAAATAAACATCTCTTATCTCAAGGGCAGAGTGCAGAGGCACTGTGGAGGAAGATGGATCCCCAAATCACAGTACACTGAAGGAAGTTAGTGAATAGAAAAATCCAGTAATTTCTCAAGAAAAAGCAACTAAACTCTGTTGAAAGCTTCTGTGTAGGTACTAGAACACGTCCCCACATTTCAAGTAAATGAAAACCACAGATTCCACTCTTCCATACTTAGGAGATCACCGACAACAGGTCAGCTTGGAGAACTGCAGGAACGCAGGGCAGAGTGAAGATGGAAACACTGTTCTCTCTGAGAACTGGAGCAGGTCCCCAATGGTGAACTGACTGCAAGGACCTCTCCCTAACGCTGCCCAGCACCCATTACCACTGTTCTGGATGGGGAAGTGTGGCTGTGCTGAGGCCACTGTCCTCACCGTGGGCTGCCTAGGGATGCGGGGCAGAAGGCCTGCCACCAGGGTCCCATTCAGCTGGTTTTCAGCTGATATAATTAAAAGCAAACATTTCAGGGGCAGTTGCAATGGGCAACATTCATTTTCCATGGAGAAGGAAGGCAAACAATATCAGGCCTGAGAAGGACAAACTGTGATTCATTCAAAATTGCTGCAAACTCAAACTAACTACCAGATGGGTCACTATAGACCAACTGTTCCTCCCTGAATGGAGGCTGGTCCTAGATACAATCCTCCAACAACAGAACAGACAGAGCAGAACTCCTACAAATTCTCCCAAGCCCTCTCAGAGTCCCCAGGGAGATATTTCTTGCACCCTCCAGACAAGCCTGACTACCTGGAGACTGTGGGGGAAATCAAAGTTCCTTGTAAAGAGAGGGCTGTGTTGTTGCCCAGGCTCCAAATCCCAGTGACCCTCCATTCAGACCTGTCCTGTCTCTCAATTTCAGAACACAGTGCTTTAAAAACTCACCACAAAGAACATGAAGAAGGAACTCACAGGTCTTTGTCCCCAGCTTTTGGCGCACAATAATTTTTGCCTTAAGTTGTCACATCTGGCCACACTACAACTTGGCATATGGAAATGACCCATGGAAGACCATATGTAATGCTCTTATTGGAAACATGGAATGTATAATTAGAATATTAGTTTCAAAATATATATTACATGTTTTGCTTTGTATGTTAGATGTCTAGATGTACCTGTAGATTTTAAAGAGTCAGTACATTGTTCCTGAGTCTTCTTTTTTTTAGTTAAGTTTTGTTTTGTTTTTATCGTGAGTGTTCTTAATGAAATAGTAAGTGGAGTGTGTCCAGTCAAAGTCGGGACTCAATTCTCAACTGACTTTAGCACATCTATACACTATGTTTAAATGTTTTCTGATGGGATTGGAGAGATGGCTCAGCAGTTATGAGCACTGGCTGCTCTCCCAGAGGACGCACGTTCAATTTCTAGAACCCACATGGCAGCTCACAATTGTCTATAATTCCAGTTCCAGGGCATCTGACACCCTCACACAGACATATGTGCAGGCAAAACACCAATGCACATGAAATAAAAATAAATAATTTAAAATAAATAAATAAAGTTTTCTGACACAGACTCAGGTAGCATAGGTTGGCCTTGATTTGCTAGAGGATGACCTTGTGCTCTTGCCTCCTCCTCACAAATGCAGAGACAGCAGGGATGTGCCACAGAGTAAGCTGAAGTTTCTTTTCTTTCTAGTCTGTTTACTACAAATTAAATGAGTACACACAGGTCTGTACATCATAAGTAAGCATGGTGCTGCATCGGCATGCTGTACAGAGAAAAAAATCAGTTTTGATGGAAAAGGCAGCATACTTTTTCTGTCTTAAAAACGTAAAACACACTACCATTTTCTTGCAATTTATTAACATTAATGATCAAGTGCCTATTATTTTAATTATAGTCACATACTGCACAGAACATGCTCGTATTTAAGATGAGGTGGTTGGAAGCCCATGTTTCCTAAGAGTAGACTTCAATGTCCTAAGTCAGTCTCCAGCTCACCAACACCTGGTCTGACTGAACAGTGAAAAGCACAAAGGACTGGATGAGGAGCGAACACCATGCTAATCACAGGACCCTGGGCGAGCCAGAGCTCTTCAGATTCATCTCTTAGTGTTTATGACATAGTATAAGTTCTTGGAGAAACGCTTCCATAAGCACGCTACAGGGACATCCCGGAAGCTGAATGCCACACTCAGTGACGGTTGAACAGAAATGTCAGAGTACACAGATGCACGGGGGAGGTTGTGAATGGAGAACAATGCACACAGGCTGTCAGGTGTGCAGGACTGTGGTTCCTCTACAGAGTCTCTCAAGCCCCCCTCCAATCACTAAAAATCCCGAGGCTCAAGTCTGTCCTCACACCGACTCATGTCTCCAGCCTGAAAAGTGCCCACACTTCCAACATCACAGAGTGGGTGTGGGGCGTTTACCCACCACCCCCACAGCTCCCCAGAGTTTTCTTGAGTGCAAGCAGCAGGAAATATTAGATAGAAGGATTTATTGCAGAGAATCTTGCGGAGATAAACAGAAAATAAAGGATAGCCTCAAGAGGGCCTGGAACCTTTTCCAATGGCCCCGACTGTCTCTGCCCCAGAGTTTTTATAGAGACACCAAGGGGTGGAGCAAAAGACCTCCTCCCCCAGCACAGCCAAGTGCAGAGCATCTCAGACACCTGCGCTCAGGCCCGTGGTCCTGATCATCCTCTATTCGGACCTGCTGGGTAAAGCCACGAGGAACCCGAGAACGGGCTCCCACAAGTGGGTTGTTATTTTCTATTATTTTTCACCCCACACTGTAGGATCAACATTGCTGGGATAATGCAAAGCTCAGCCTATCCCCTTTGTGGCATGGTTCTGCCTCCCTATGGGAGTGTTCCTGTGAGGATTCAGCTCACAGGATTTGGATATGGGAGATTCCTTTTCAGAGCGAACCGCCCTTAAATCCCCAGTTCATTCCAAAGAAAGTGAGAGAAACATCCAGTACACCGTCAGTCTTCCTTGCAGAACTCTGTCCTGGGAACGAACCTAGCCACCTGATGAACTTCAGTCGACTAAAACGAGAATATTGGCCAAACATAAAGTAAAGAAAGGACCAGATATCCCCTTGCCTAAACAGACTGAGAAATCAAATAACGGCCACGTGTGAACGAGCTCCCAACACCACCTCCAGCCAGACTGTCAGAAACCCACCCAGGCAATCCTGGTTCTCGCAAGCTTCCCCACGCCTGAAGTACCAAGCCTGATCTCCTGTCCCCAAAGCACAAGGATGATAAAGGCAGCAAGATGCCTTCTTACGAAGTGGTCATTCCCAGCATCAGCCCCATCGTCTTCTCCCCAACCCCGACTTGCACCTTGACTGTGGCCCAGGCTAGTTCAGCACAGCACCTCTAAATGGCTTAGACTCCGCCCCTCCTCTGCTCCCTTCAAGCCCGACTGCGCCACGCCCTCCCCCGCACAGTTCCTCTGGCCTGCCTGTTTGCGCTGCACCCTGGACCAACCTCCATGTCAGAGATGCACCCCGAGAGCGGAGCAGGACTGGATTCTCGCCAGATTTGGAGGAGGATGCACGTGTGCTTACCAAAAGCTGAATGGCGATTTCCAGAGTAGCCCCTTGTTTCGTCAGAGTCTCAGGGACTACATTTCCCAGAGGTCTTGGGAATTCCAGGAACCATGGGAGAGAGATTTCCACTTTTCCACTCTCCTGGGTTTCTGCCCCCACGTCTGCAGAACCTGTTGGAGAGGGAAAGCCTGAATCTGCAGCTGGACAGCTGTTTTCAAAGTTCCAGTTTCACAACAAAGCCACGTACAGTCCCCTCATCTCATGAGAAGTAGGTCTGAGCCTCATGGAGTTTGTAGGGCCATTTCTGTAAGGGAATCTAACTGTTGTTTTCATTCAAAAGCAGAAACTTTATACCTCTAGATCCTGATCCTCACGTCTACACAGTTTTTAAAGTTTATATCTCTCGTGATAAAAGCTGATGTTTCTGTGGCTGTCAGTGTGCCCGTGCCGGCTCCATTCAAGGGTGAGGGCAGGCGCAGTTCTTCTTTTCTTTGCAGTCCATGGCCCATATTAAAATGTTTTTTTTTTCCCCATTATATAAATCATCAAGAAAAAACACATTTAGTTAAACCATTGGTACATGCCCACCAAGTAGTCTCAGGGGCTCAGTAATATTCCTCTTGTCCAGACGAGTTAACCCACGAGGATGAATAGCAGACATCAGAATAAGGGAAAGTGCCCAGGCTAAATGTTTTCAATATTAGATATGTTACAGTCCCTTGTAAGCCCTCTGATGTTAATTTGGGCTGTCCCTAGTGACAGTGAGATTTGTCAGTCAATGGCTGACAGTCCTATCAATATGTAGTGAAAGGGCTGGAGGCGGGGCATGTCTAGGGGGCGGGGCATGTCTAGGGGCGGGGCATGTCTAGGGGCGGGCATGTCTAAGAGGCGGGGCATGTCTAGGGGGCGGGGCATGTCTAAGCATAACTGACAACTCTGGCCAATTTCTAGCTGGGAATGATTGATCCAGCAGTGGACCTTGTTGACAATGGAAAAGAAGCCTGGGGAATCCCTCAGCTTCCTAAACAGCTGGAGACAGGACTTTGGCCCTGTGTGTATTAAGAGGGGAGAGTCGGTTTGGGCCTTGACACAGGTACGAGATCTTTGGTCTGGGGACCTGGATTGTAAATCTATCCGCAGAATCCCTTCCTGTGGCAGAGAATATGATTCTCCAGGTTCTCCCTGTTTTCCAAAGGCCAATCCTTTTAACGAATTTCCAGGCCTTTACTTTTTGTGGCCATTCAGTTACATTCTCCCCTCTGGAGGAGGCTTTCTTTCTGCATATATCTATTCATCCGTGTGTTTCCAGGAAGCCTCTGTTTGTCAACCCTCTGGGGAAGATAAAGCTCTTTGGTGCTGAGAACTTAGTCTAGGGTGTCTTAAGCTGATACTAGCCCCGTCAACATCCATACCTAGCATTCCAGGAGGAACAGGTTAAACATCTCTTTCTTTTGAAGGCTGCCTGCATGTTTAACTTTCCTGGCTATTCCAGTGCTTATCTGTATGCACAGGACTTTTTTGCCCTCTACAAAGTAGCTTGAAGATATTCCATCAGAACAATACTTAATACAGGTAGGTTATGACAGCCAGGAATGTCTTGCTGACCAATAGTCATAGTACATCGAAGGGAGATCAGGAATACAGGGTCACCCTCAGATACACATTACATTTGTGTTTTGCCTGGGCTGTATGCTTTGTCTCAAAACAGAGAAAGGTTATAATGATTAATGGTACATGGCTTAGTTACTCTTCTGCTGCTGTAAGGAGACAATATGACCAAGGCAACTTATAAGAGAAAGCATTTAATTTGGGGCTTGCATACAGTTTTAGGGCATGAGTTCATTATCAGCATGGTGGGAAGCGTGGTGGTAGGCAATCATGGTGCTGGAGAAGTGGATGAGAGCTGTACATCCCGATCCACAGGCAGCAAGCCACTGGGCCTGGTGAGCTTTTAAAACCTCAACGCCCACTCCCAGTGACACACCTTCTATAAAGAGTGCACCACCTACATCTTTCCAAACAGTTCCTGAACTGGGGGCTAAGCAAGCAGATATATGAACCCAGAGGGTCATTCTCATTCCAACTTGCACACTACACATATTGAGTTATGTGGAATATTCCTTTACACTGCATGAATATATGTCCCTGTGATTGGTTTAATAAAGCAGCTGACTGGCCAATAGCTGGACAGGTAGTCGTGACTTGCAAACAAAAAGAGCCTTACAGACAGAAAAGAAGGGAGGAGTCTCAGAATCTCAAGGAGATACAGAGAGAAGGAGATGTACTTGCTGTACTAAGAAAAGGTACCAAGCCATGTGGCAGAGTGTAGATAAGAAATATGGGTTAATTTAAAATGTAAGAGTTGGCTAGTAACAAACTTGAGCTATTGGTTGAGCATTTATAATTAATAATAAGTCTCAGCGTGGTTATTTGGGAACTGGCAGGTAGGACAGAAAAGTCGACCTACAGAGTTATCTCAATTTAATTTACTATTTTTATATTGCAATGTTTCTAGTTCAATCTTTATAAAGTGTGAATTCCCTCATGGATGCTATGTATTCTTTTTGTATGTAAACGTGCATTACTTACAAGCATGCTGCATGTAGTCTGGACTATTAATGATGATTACCTTGGGCAGTGTCCTGAGAGGGGTATGAGGCTCATCTATAGGTTATTTTTAAAAGGATGAAATATTTTGTCAAATTACTAGAAAATAAAAATTACCAGACACCACACAGTTCCCTGGCTACATCTTTTCATTAGTAAGGACGAGTAGGAATACAATAATCATTCTTGGACCTTGCAGGGTTCTAATACCCTTCTGTCAAAACTGTCCTGAATTCCTTTTCTGTGGTTGGAATAAAACACCATGACCGAGGCAACTTACTGAGAAAAGTGTTTATTTGGTTTAAGGTTCCAGAGATAAGAGTCTATCATGGCAGAGAGAGGTGGCAGCAGGATACAGGCATGGGCACCAGGAGAGAAGCTAAGAGCTCATATCTTGGACATTATCGAGGACTACGGGGGTCCAGACCCTCAATAGTCCCCTCCCAGGGTCCAGGAAGAATCTACAACCAGCTGATAATTAATCTTTAATGGGAAGAAATGAATCTATGTACACGAAACTCCTTAGTCCATATACTTTATTATTCTGTGACAGTTACAAGCTTATATTCTGTTCTCATATTTAGGTCATCTTTAGCCTGATTTCTCTCTACACTTGTCTGTGATCCCCTCTATGTTCTATCTTAATTCCTTCATCTAGTTCTGTCCCTTCTAGGTTCTCATCTATCTAGTTCTTTCCCCTATCAGCTCCTCTCCCGTCTCCTTCTCTCTCATCTGACTCTTCCTCAACTTGTTCTTCCCCATCTGGCTCTTCCTCATCTTCCATCTCGTTCCTCTTGTCCTCTCTTCTAGCCCTTCAATCTAGTTCTTCCCCATCTCAGTTCGTTCCTCTCAAGTTCTTACCCATCTAGTTCTTCCATTCTCTTCTCTCTTCTCCTTCCTATGCCCTGGAAGTCCCGGTATATAAAGGGAGGGTCCGAGCTAAATTGTGTAAAGCTATTACTTAA